GGCCGACAAATGATCTTCCAGTGTCAGCCGTGGATCCAGGAGGACACCCAAGTTGCGTGCCCTCTCTGAGGGGGCCAAAGTTTCGCCCCCTATAGACAGCGATGGAATCAGCTGACTATGCCGGGGCGCCGGCAACCACAGCCACTCGGTCTTGGAAGGGTTGAGTCTGAGTCTGTTCCTCCCCATCCAGACCCGTATGATGTGACTTAGCCTGGGTAATGAAATGTCTGCAAGAAAACAACTAAGTTCAGAAAGCAGCAAGAACTCCACAGTCCTCTCCTCCTCCTCCTCCTCCTCCTCCTCCTCCTCCTCCTCCCTTCTAGCACTGATAGTAATAGTAATGAAATATCTGCAAGGAAACAACTAAGCTCAGAGAGCATCAAGGATTCCACATTATTCCTCCTCCTCCTCCTCCTCCCTTCTAGCACTGATAGCAATGGTAACATCTGCAAGGAAACAAGTAAGCTCAGAGAGCATCAAGGACCCCTCATTTCAACCCTGAGCTGCAAATGTTCTCCTTTATTAGCACCTTCTGAGGGTGTGAAAATTCTCTTCTGATGGAGAACGTGAAGAGGAAGATACCTGTCATGGAGTAGATCAACAAGCAGAAGAGCATGGACATCACAGACACCACCACCCAGTGGGACAGCCTCTTATCGCTCAGGCTGCAGTAGATGGCCACACAGGCTTCATGACACTGGAAGACAAAGAGGACTTGAATATACAATATATAATGCAGTGCTTGCCTAGTGCTTGCTTGGACGTCTTCTTCGCTTCACATCCATAAAGCTGCAGATATACATTCCTACAGTCAAGGGACCAGCCCTGCCACTATGGGCAATCCAGAAAGTCATTGTTATGGTGAGGAGTTAGTGACGTATTTTGATGTCTCCTTCATATTAAGAAAAATCTAGAAGTTTAGAGTTTGTTCTGAAATCTAGCTTGCTCATTTTTCAGTCTTGCTTGCGGAACAAAGGACAAGGGGGGAATCTTTATGTAGTTTCAAAGCTGTGAAAGTCTCAGATTTTGTATTCATATCCTAGGCCAGGAGTAGGCAACCCTTGGCTCTTTTATGACTCATGGACTTCAACTCCCAGAATTCCTGAGCCAGCCATGCTGAGGGGAAAGGGAGAGGTTTCCAAGCTGAGCCATGCTGGCTCAGGAATTCTGGGAGTTGAAGTCCACCAGTCATAAAAGAGCCAAGGTTGCCTACCCTAGACTCATATGCCAGCCAGTCAAGGTCAGGTCTTGCAGTCCTTTGTCTGCAACAAGGCCATGAGATCATAGTGCCAGATTTTCATAAAAATGGTGAGGTTTTGATTAAGAGGGAGCTTCTGCCACAGAACACTACGTGCTGCTGAAAAATTGGCCACTTTGCTGGGGGTATTTCTGCGGTCATTATTAAGCAGCTCCTGGCAGCCTATAAGAAATCTGGGTGATGGCTTGCTTCATAAGTATGCTTTGTACGTTAGGCTTTTCAATCTGTTTCCCAGGAGCTCGGAGAACGAAGCTTCACCCTCATCCTACACCCGAATTACAGATATTTGCCACTATTGCAAAGTTCTCAGTTTCTTGATTTTGATGTAAACAAGGAATGGGGAATCAATGACTGTTTTTCTCCTGATGGTAAAAGGGTGATAGCTACGCCCAGGTTATTGCATCCTCAGAAATACATATGAATTCAAGTATCCTTTTGCAACAAGGAGGGACAAAGTCAACCTCCATAACTCCTTCGCCCCTTAAGAAAAGAAGAGAAAAATATTCACTTTATTACCTGAAACCCAAAACAGATGGTCGGGACAACGCTGAACATGGAGGCCCAAGAACTGTGTGATGGAAAACACAAAACATGGACATGCATATGAAGGTGCCAGACATTACTCTACATGGAAATGGCCAGACAGTCACAATGTATTTGCTGTCTAGGTAGGAAAATCTCCTGAAGGGTTTTTAAAGAATCCATCGCCACCCCATTGTATATTGGCTCCTTCCTTAGAGCTATCTAGTTTTAATGTTAATATTTATCATTTTAATGTTTGCATTGCTGTTTTTGTCTTGTAAGCTGCTTAATGTCACTTGATGGTGAGATGGGCAGCATAGACATTTAATAAAAAAAGAAGTAAATAAAAGAACGTCCATCTTTGCCACCCTTCCCGTATTCTATTCTATTCTATTCTATTCTATTCTATTCTATTCTATTCTACTCTACTCTCCTCTGCTCTAATTCCATATTCTATTCTATTCTATTCTATTCTATTCTATTCTATTCTATTCTATTCTATTCTATTCTACTCTCCTCTGCTCTAATTCCATATTCTATTCTATTCTATTCTATTCTATTCTATTCTATTCTATTCCATTCCATTCCATTCTACTGTACTCTAATTCCATATTCTATTCTATTCTATTCTATTCTATTCTATTCTATTCTATTCTATTCTACTCTCCTCTGCTCTAATTCCATATTCTATTCTATTCTATTCTATTCTATTCTATTCTATTCTATTCCATTCCATTCCATTCTACTCTACTCTAATTCCATATTCTATTCTATTCTATTCTATTCTATTCTATTCTATTCTATTCTATTCTATTCTATTCTACTCTAATTCCATATTCTATTCTATTCTATTCTATTCTATTCTATTCTATTCTATATTGGTCAGGCAGATTTTATTTAGAAGAACAGAAAAGCAGTGGCTAGTGGTGAGGGTATAAATCTGTTTTCCTTGACATACCATTCACTCTATATCCATACTTACTTAGCAGAATGGGGATGCTCCTGCTTAACAGCGTGATCTGTTTTGAGGTAATACTTCAGCACAATGACCACCATCAGGTAACAGGCAGCTAAAGTGCCAAGGATACTGGAAAATATGCGCAGAAAGAGCAAAATTGGACAAAAGGTGCAAAATATTCTGCAGCTAGTCCTCAAGAGAATCAGCCTAGAACTAAGGACAAATTTCCTGTCAATGAGAACCATTCATCAATGGAACAGAAGTTGCCTCCAGAAGTTGTGGATGCTCCAACACTGGAGGTTTTTAAGAAGAGACTGGACAGCCATTTGTCTGGGATGGTAAAGGGTCTCTTGCTTGAGCAGGGGGTTGGACTAGAAGACCTCCGAGGTCCCTTTCAACTCTGTTATTTTATTATATGTTATATGACTATAATGGAGCCTGCCCATTAAGGTCGTAGGTTTGACAATCGTAAAACACTCATGTGACCAATCCAATTATATTATCTTTTTTGCAGCAGTCATTAAGTCAGGGGTCTCAAAACTTGTCCACTTTAAGTCTTGTGGACTTCAACTCCCAGAATTCCCCAGCCAGCAATTCTAGGAATTGAAGTCCACAAGTCTTAAAGTGGACAAGTTTGAGGACCCCTGGACTAGAAGATCTTTAAGGTGCCTTCCAACCCTGTCATTCTACATTCTGTGTTCTTGTTTTGCATCTTGCTCTGTCCCACCAGGGTAAAACCTATATTCTGTTTCACTTCCTCCCCAAACATATCCAGGATATAAATCAGATCCAAGTCGGGGTGAGACTTAATCTCCGGCACACCCAGTTCCAAAACTGGACCCTCTGAACTCTTTCTTACCTTGTATATTTTTGGAAGCCAATTTGTCTTGGGATGGAGAGACCCTTTTATTGGTCCTCCGTGTTCCATCTGTTCCACTTCGCGACCAGTTATTTGGTCCCGACCACTTTTACCAGAGGTAAGTCTCAAAGTAACTCCCTCCTTCTTAGTGTATGACCTTCTCTCAACCTTTTTCGAGTCACAATCTTCTTCCGTCCTTACATAGGCTTCCGAACACTTAGACTTGTTTCCATAGGAAAAGTCTTATGCCGCTTCGTTTTTTTTGTAATCTACAGGGAGACCAATCACTTCACGATCATTCTAAGTCACAACAGATCGTGAAAAATGGCATTTGGGACCCTGATTCAAAGCCCTGACTTGGGCTCCCCCACCCCAGTCATGTGTCCACATTTTGGGCACTCAACAACGGGCCAGCTTTTTGGGCCTTTTGCAGCATACTGCAGTCGCATGACACTGATTTATGTTGGGCCTTTTTTTCGGGGGGGATAACTGGTGTTTACTTCCAGTTTTCTGGGAAAAATGCTCCCTAGAGAACAATAGCTTTGCTTAATGACCACTGCAAAAAAGGGTACTAAAATCTCACGTGGTCATATCATGACCCAGTTAAAAATGGTCATGACCTACGATTGTGATTGCAGGCTCAAATATAGCCGTAAGTCGAGGTATCCTCTTTTATGGTTAGTATTTTGACTGTTGGAATTGAAGTCCTTCAATCGCTGATTATTTCAGTTGCTCCCATGGAATCTTACTTTGATTCAGGACTTTCACAGAACAGCCACCGTGAAGGAGATGGCCATGGTTTAATACCAACTTCATGAGTGGGTATTTTTTTTCCTCCTGAAAAAAATTAGGTCACCTCTTCTACCATCCCCACCACCTCACCCAGCCAAAGAAGACTAGCGAGCACCAAAGCAGAGTTAGCAATTCCCAAAGGAATTCTTTTCTGAAACCCAGGTCTCACGTTTTTCTAGTTGATCTCCCATAACTTTGAGGAAGGCCACGGAGATCATGAAGAGGTTCAAGATGAAGCACACTTCGCAAAGCTTGCCCACAGCTGACCCACAGATTTCTCTCACCACACCTTGGTAGGTTGTCTGAGTGCTGATAGAAGCAGCGTAACCCAAGATTACTAGGCCGCTAATGAGGAATATCAAAGATCCCTGCCAGGAGAGACAAAAGAACATGACACTGAAGACAAGTATTGTAGAAGCCAATTGAAAACAAGGGAGTGAAGCGTGCCCCTGTCCATGGTGCTGAAGGCTAAGGAGGAGAGTCTCTAAGAATTATCTTGAGTAGCCACTACTTGCATTTCTACAGAAGGTACATGGCGGACCTCTTACCATTGACCCATCCACCTGATACATTAGACCAGTGTTTCTCAACCTTGGCAACTTTAAGATGCAGGGACTTCAACTCCCAGAATTCCCCAGCCAGCATGGGTGACTGGGGGATTCTGGGAGTTGAAGTCCATGCATCTTAAAATCGCCAAGGTTGAGAAACACTGCATTAGACTAAGTTCACACAACATGCTAAATCCAGGTTAGCCCAACATATTGTCCACATTTACATTCCATGTTATGCCCAAATCATCCACATTAACATGAAAGCCTGGTTCGCCCAACAAATTAAGTCCATGACCAGGTTTCCTCAAAACACCAGATCATAAATCCCTCTTAGTCTTGGAATGTGATGCAAACCAAATCTTCATCCTTAAGAGGGATCAAATTGAAACTACTGCTGCTTTGGATTTTCCATTAGTCCTAGGGCCTAGTTCCTACAAGATGAACAAAAAGTGAAATTAATGTCATAGCTTACTTATAATGTCATAGAATCTTAGGGCTGGAAGAGACCTTGAAGGTCTTCTAATCCAGCGCCCTGCCCAAGGAAGAAGACCTTATTGCATCATGAACAAATCCAGTCTTTCTCTTGAAGACCTCCAGCAATGGAGCACCCACAACTCCTGGAGGGAAGCCATTCCACTCATTAATTGTTCTCACTGTCAGGAAATTCCTCCTTAGGACTTGTAAGGAAAGAAAAAGCAAGACAAATTTTCTCCCCAAGACAAATTGCTATGCAATAAATTAGTAAGCTATTTTTAACCTCAGCTCCTGAAGGAAGAGCTGAAAAATAAACCTTGGCTCCAATTTTCATCTTCACAACAGCTCAGATAAATAGCTTCTGATAAATGATAACAACTGGCTTGAAAGTATGCTTCATCCTTCAGGGCTGACAAGTTCATCTTTTTCTTTAGATGTTAGAGAAGTTGGCCGGTTCTTGCTTGCTTTGTAGCTCTCAGACAACAGTGTCCATCAGAACTCAGCCCTCCATGATTTTGGCATTGGCTGAATATTACAAAACAGTTTTCCACCAAAAGAAATAGGTAGCCCAATCCTCCTTGAAGTTCAAATATATGGATATTTTTTTTACAGGAAAGTTAATAAAATGTGTTAAGGCCTAAATTTTTATGTCTAATGTACAAGAGGTCTCAGGTAGTCCAATCTACAAGAGGTCTCAGGTAGTCCAATCTACAAGAGGCCTCAGGTAGTCTAATGTACAAGAGGTCTCAGGTAGTCCAATGTACAAGAGGTCTCAGGTGGTCTAATGTACAAGAGGTCTCAGGTAGTCCAATCTACAAGAGGCCTCGGGTAGTCCAATGTACAAGAGGTCTCAGGTAGTCCAATGTACAAGAGGTCTCAGGTAGTCCAATCTACAAGAGGTCTGGAGAGCTTTCCGTTGGCACTTACCAGCTCCACGGAGATTGCTTGGGCCATTCCGCCAGCTTTATTGAAGGCCCAGGGGAAATTCAGGAGCCCTGCTCCAAGGGCAGATTTTAGCAAGATGAAGATGGCACCAAATGAGGAAAGTTGGGGGCTATCAGACTCCAGAGATGGCTTAGCTAGCAAGCTGATGCTCTCTCTAGCTAACTCCTCCATGTCTGAAAAGAAAAGGAGGATGGGGTGTTTTATTGCTAGCAGATCTAAATAGACTTCAACAATTCCACAATACTTCTCAAGGAAGTCAATCCGTCCATGCCTTTGCAGAAAAGTTTAAAAGATTTTCTCCATCTGGGGAAAAAAATGACAAAATAATAAGAAGAACGGCTTCAAAGGTTTCTTCTCCACCCACCCCTCACCCCACTCATGATCCTAACCTTGTTGAGGGGGATGGCGGAGAAATGAGAGGGACATGTGAAATAGAGCAAAGGAATGTGGAATGACATGTACATATGCACGTGCTAAAAATAAATGAAGAATCTCTAGGCAATTTGTGGCCCCCAACGAACGCTTAATTTAATTAGAAGGTTCACTGGGAGAGGTTAAAAGTGAACATCATGAAAATACGAAATGTGCTAGAGATTCTGCAGGGAAATGTTTGCTAATGGAGGCCAACTTAAACCAGAGCCAAGGTGTGCAAGATGGCAGCACCCAGACTTTGGCTCAATATTCAGATGTTCTCAAGATGTTCAGCTCAAGGTTCCTCAACTTTGGCATCTCCAGCATGGTGGGTGGGGAATTCTGGCACCTGAATGTCAATGAAGATTCTCAGTCATTCAGATAGAGTTGTCTGGAAGTTGAGACGTGGGAACAGGACTTTTCTTTCTTTTTGGCTGGAAATGCTTTGCTGCTTATCTAAGTAGCTTCATTCCGAGCAAGTTGGTTAGGGCGACCTCCATATATGTCCTCCAGGTTGTTTTCATGTGTCACCTACTCTGAATAGGCTCATTAGGTGAGAAATGAGACCACCCTGAAGGACTTATATAGAGTCCCCCTTAACCAACTTGCTTAGACGGAAGAAGCTCCTTGGATAAGCAGTGAAACGTTTTCAATCAAGAAAGAAAAGTCCAGTTGCCTTGACTCAATTTCTAGTCTAGTACCTGAAGGATCCAATCTGGGTTGGCCACCGAAGTCCAGAGGTTTAGTCTTCCAAACTTTTGGACTCGTGCTGGAGACCATCCTTATGGAACTTCTCTCTCACGAGAATGGTGAGAGAGAAGTCCCCTGAAGATTGGCTCCAGCACGAATCCAAAAGGTCAGAAAACTAAACCTCTGGTCCTGGAGATTGACCCAGATTGGATCCAACAATATGATCCTAGGACAGTGGTGGCGAACCTATGGCACGGGTGCCAGAGGCGGCACTCAGAGCCCTCTCTGTGGGCATGCACGCCATTGCCCCAGTCCTAGGCCTTCAGCTGAGTTTTATAAAACCTTTTCACTTTAGGCCTCCGCCGCCATGTGCAAAAAAAAAAAAAGGTTCAATCAGTCAATTTCAACTTCTCGCGGGAAAAAAAAAGTTCTTGCAAAGTTGGAATTGATTGATTGAACTTTTTAGTCCCACCCAGTCTGCCGTTACTACCGCAGCCACGCCCACCCAATGGGCCACACCCACCCGGCACTCGACAATGCATAAGTGGGTTTTGGGTTGCAGTTTGGGCACTCAGTCTCTAAAAGGTTCGCCATCACTGTCCTAGGACATGTATAGTTGCTTTCATTCGTGCTAGTATTTGAAGCCCACCCATCTTACAGTGGGTGACAGTTGAAATATTGAACTGGTCATCTTAAGGCTGTGGACTACCGAGCTTAAGTCTTCAAAGCAGCTTCTCTCATCTGTCAACAAATTTCAGAAATCCAAGCCGATTTGACCATGTACTTTCAAAGTTGAGATTTCTGGGACTTGTTTGTAAGCAATGTTTCAGACAAAACAACAGATGTCCAAGAAGTTGGGTATGTACCAAAATGTCCAAAAAGTTAAGGGGTGCACGAGGAGGCCCGGACTCTTTTGTCATGCATTACAACTGCTGTATTGTATTGTTGTGTTGTGTTGTGTTGTGTTGTGTTGTGTTGTGTTGTGTTGTGTTGTGTTGTATTGTATTGTATTGTATTGTATTGTATTGTATTGTATTGTATTGTATTGTATTGTATTGTCATATATCATATATATTATTTTGGCTCCATCTTTGCAGATTTCCATTTGTTATCAAAGTTTCAAATAGTTTAGGCAGAAAATATGCAGACATCATAAAGGCCAGCTCCCAAATGAGCATCACAAAGTTAATAATAAAGTGACCTGCCTTCACTTGGGAATGTTATAGTTTTTAAAAAACCAAATGTCTACCAACTAAAAAACACCAAGGCAACATATCAGGAAAAAGCTACACAGTTCAGAGCAATTTTCAAAACCAGGAAGGCACCGAAAAGTGTTGAATAGCGTGGGTGGATGTGTTAAAAAATATGAATATTTTAGCCCAATTGTTTGCCTATAGAACCAGGGACGGGTGGATTCGTCTACAGAAATTACACCAAGACGTTAAAAAGAGCTCGATTCGTCAGAACTAAGGCCGGCTTCTTTGGTTACCTATCACCAGATCAGTAATTCGTTTTTTTACTTCCCAGCCATGTGACCTTCTGATCTCGGTAAGCGGGATAAGGAGATTTTAATCAGCTGCTATAAAGAATTATGAATGGCTAATTGTTCCTGTCATCCTGATTATGTCTTTGCAACCTGCTGCGTTTTGAGCCATTCAAAGTGTCCCTTTCAGTCATCAGTGGTCCACAAAGGAATGCTTTAATTGGCTGGTGGGATTCAGAATTTAGCCATTGGGCTGGAAATAAAGGGCTTGGCCAATAAGGAAGGCTCAGCACAGACTGGCACACTTTGATATAATTTGATATAATTTTGCAAGGGGGGGGAATTCAAAGCGTTTTGAGAACTTTTACTAATCTTGCCTTCATGACACTCCTGAGTAGAGCCAAGCTGGCCTATTAACAGCCTAGGGACTATTTTATTTATTTATTTTTATTTATACCCCACCTTTATTATTTTTACAATAACTCATGGTGGCAAACATACGCAACACACCTTCCCTGTTCTTCTATTTTTCTGTGAGATGAATTGGGTTGAGAGTGACTGACCCAAAGTCACCCAGCTGGCTTTCATGCCTAAGGCAGGACTAGAACGCACCATCTCCTGCTTGCTAGCCTGGTGCCTTAACCACTAGACCAAACTGTCTCTCCTTGACCATGTACGTCTCGGCCAAGGGAACTGGCCTGCAGGCTCTCCCCTCTCGTCCCTTGTAGCAACTACTTTTTTAAAAAAAATACAGCCATTGAGAACATATTCTACATTGTTTCTACTTATTTACCAATAATTCTCAGTACACTAGCGTAATTTAACTACGTAAAAGCTACACAAACTTTCTTCTCTAATATTAAAGTAAGGATCATGATACGACTCGAATGAACTCCAGTCCTTTTTCACAAATGGGGCAAAATTAATGGGTTGAAAATGAAAGTATTTGATTACAGTTGCCTCTTCATTCTTTTGTCAGTAAAGAGGGAAGCAGAGTCACATAACGCTGAAACACAGTTTTTCATTATGCACGAACCAGTGGTGGATTTAGCTGAGTATTATGTCTCTCTGTGGGATGCCTGTCTCACTCAAGGAATACATGTGCCAACCTATTTCTTCTCATACTTTTTTCTCTCAAAAATGTGGGGATATTTTCTACACTGCTGTTTTTATGATGGGATCCTGGAGTGGCTTCTGCTGAGTGTGCTATGCACTGACATTGTGGTAGTACATGACTTACTTGCACAATGCTGTGTCAAGGTGAAATCTCCAGGACTTGTATGAACAGGGAAAATCAAGCAAAGAAATGTTCAAGCAGCTATGAGAATAGAATAGAACAGAACAGAATGGAATAGAATAGAATAGAGTAGAATATGGAACGGAACAGAACAATAGAACGGAATAGTTGGAAGGGACCTTGGAGGTTTTCTAGTCCAATTGCTGCTCAAGCAGGAGACTCTATAACAGTTTAGATCAGGGGTAGTCAACCTTGGCTCTTTTATGACTCGTGGACTTCAACTCCCAGAATTCCTGAGCCAGCAGTCCACGAGTCATAAAAGAGCCAAGGTTGACTACCCCTGTTTTAGATATAAACTGTACGATGAGCAGCTAAGAAGTTAAAATGGGCAAAAGAGAGAAGATACATAATTTTGAGCAATGGGCAAAAGATTTAATTCCAGACCAATTTATATCAGGCATAATACATTAAAAGATGAGCTGTCAAGAGATAAAGATTTTACCCTTCCTGGTTTTTATAATTGCAACAAGACGAAGCTCGGTATGAAAAGACATCTGCTTTCTTCGGGATCCTTTCATCAAATACCTTTTGCTTTCATTAAACTGTCTAATCTCTGCCATAATCCCCAAACAGATAATGATGCACCGAATAATTTTTACTCTGCCCTTGATGCTATCCCATAATCAACCTGTTGACTATTCCATAATCAAGCTGGGTTATTAAAAAAAAAGAAAAAAGATCAGATTCACCCCAACAGGATCCAAGAAACCAAGATGAAGATGAAACACATTTTTTAGACTTTCAAAAGACGTTGCAGCTTTGATCTTCTGCCAGAGATTAAAGCTCTTTTTAAAGCTCTAACATTTAAGAGTTTTAATGCAGGGCAGGAAAAAGGTGTGCGTGGGAGAGTTTTAAAGGGAAAAAAAATGAATCATTTGCACAAGTTTTTGGACTCTGGGCATTTAACGAGTTAGAATATATGGTTCTCCCTCTTTACAAAAGATAGATACGCAGAGGCAACAGAGACCAAGAACAGAGAAAAGATGCCAAAAGGAACGTAGGGGTGAAAGTAATAAACCAGGGGATCCGGCGTTTTTAAAATAATTGGATGGGTCCTATGTCAGAGTCACCTGTTCCTTAATTTCAAAGATGCTTAAACTGCCAATGCTTTGCAGAGGACAAACTGTGCTTTGGAAGTTTTTGCGAACTATGAATCACAGATAGCCAATGAAAAACCTAAGTGAAGGGACCTGGTGATTTGAAAGCAGCCATTTTTCAACTCAGGTTCTGCACAAGATGGTGACTGGGGGAAAAAAAAGTTTGCTGTTGTTGTTTGTTTAAATTACACAT